AAAAAAATACATCTAGTTTATTTAGAGCACATACTATAACAATATAAAACAGCTGTTAGCAAAGATTTTTAACATGTCAAAGCTGTTTTTATCTCATCCATTCAAGTATATTGTCTGTAAAATTCAATAAATAGTTACTTGGTAATGTACTCCAGAACAAATTAGTTAAACAAAGCTACACCACTGAGTATATGCAGTTATTCAGTTGGAAAAATCTTGTCAGATATCAAGGAATTAAACCTAAAGAAAAAATAGGAAGGATAACAGAACGAAAGGAGGATGAAGACATTTAGGCTGAAGATTTGCTTGTGTGTGTGTGTTTTGTTTTTTTGCACACAAAAAAAAAAAGTACCGCCATAACATCCTGCACAGAAAATGACTATAATGAGCACTACTGCCAGATCAGTTTTGATTTTTTTTTTCTTTTTTTCAGTTTTCAATTTTAACATAACATTTCAGTTTTAGCTATAGAGACAAATTAAGATATTGACAGTCATTCCAACAAGTTAAGTTAACTTTATTAAATCCACAATGGGCAATTAAAGTAGGGTAGTAGCATCATATAACAAACTCAATACAAACATAAGGTATCACATAGACAATACAAAAAGATAAGTAAAAACACAGCCCAGCATGCTTCATAATAAATGCCATATATAAACAATAAAATAAAATAAAAACACACCTTACTAAAAAAAATGAATGTAATTCTTCATAGAATGTAGGCTATACAGTCACAAACATATTGATGTACACACAGAGACATTACCACCAACTATTTAACGAAAACTTATGTAGCAGTTATTATTTACTTAGATACACTTTCTTGAAACTCTTCTGGTGGATTGCATTCCTGTACAGTTGCTTTACGTCCGCGCAAATAACGCACAAGTACTAACAGAGCAAAACCAGCCACTACTAGGAATATTATCAGCCCAGCATACTCTCCTGGGGTCGACAGTGCCCCTCTTGACGGTGTTGTGAATACTTGACCATTATATAGAATAGGAGCAAGAGTGCATTCAGTTCCATTAACGAGGATGAACGGCTCGTAGCAAGCGCATCTATAAGTTCCTATCGTATTTAGGCACAAGTGTGCGCAGCCGTGATTTGATTCACATTCATCAATATCTTCGCAGGTTTGGTCGTTTCTAACAAAACCAGCCGGGCACCAACACGCCGTTTGAGAGGGGGTCCCTCTCAAACATAACGCTTCACAAACTCTCGTTGCGCAATAGAAATCACAGCGGCGTGGATCTCGTGCATTTGGACGGAATCGTTCCATACACGAACACCTATATCCGGTTTCCAAAGGAGTACATTTATGTTCACAGGGTGCAAACATACACTGCGCATTATCCAGAACGACCACATTTCCTTTGCAAAGATCCCCTTGAGAGTCCTCGCACAAAAACCCATCCAATTTGTCCGTGCATGGTCTCGGCGTCTGCATCCCGTCGCTGGAGACAGACACGCAGAGTGGGACGCACGACGTTTCTTCGGTCTCCAAGAATTCCGTGATCCGTTCGCGTAATGTGCTCGTATTTCTTAAACACGTGTCGCTTGGGAGATAGAGTCCGGTCCAAAAGTGTCCGATCAGGTTATTAAGGAGATAGCCGACAACTTCATCTGATGCATTCGACTGGATACATAACTGACCACCCCGTTCTCTGCAATTCTGTTGAGCCGTTTGAAAGTCCACTGGCATTTGGTAAATGTTTGCACAGTGTTTTAGATTTCTTGAACAAGCACAGCTATATACCGTTCCAGCGCACGACGAAATTATCACGATGAACAAAATCGTATGTTTATGATAATCCATCCTATTTTGATTTCAAGGGGTAGCTACAGCAACTTAAGCTGCATGAGGATGTGTTCAAAGCTTTAAATATTTCTATCTTTTGAAACCCCATTCCGGAGATAAAGGTAAACATAGAAAGGAAACCCCGCCTGAGGGGGCCAAGAAATACCCCAGAGTGACTGGTCACAGTTTGTTTTGATAAATGCAATGCACGCACTGCCCGCTCTCTGAAATGCATGATCTTGGCGAAAATGACTCATGAATAGTAGCTATTTCAAATGGTTGTGGTCCCAAGAGTTTAACGTTCACTGTTAATCATTCATTCTTTCTTCACTCATTCATTCAAGCACATTAAAAGCGTATTCAATTCCTTTGCTGAACGAGCAGCCATGACCCAGTGAGTTCAGTTTCAACCCTAATTAAACACATCAGAACCAGCTAATCAAGGTTTTTATGATTAGTTGATTATTAGGTTACATGCAGGTGGGTTTGGTTAGGGTTAAAAACTCTGCTTCAACAAATCTTTAGATCGACACAAACTTCAATGAAGCTTTATTTATTCTACCAAAATGTACAGAGGTAATTTTTTTTTACAACAATAGTAGCCTACATCGTGAATCAAAAAGAAGAAAAAAACAAACTTAAATATAAGATTACGTTTAGTGAAGTTTGTGAACAGGTCTACAGCTGTGTCGTTTCATTTAAAGGGGGAGAGTGGGCTATATTGTCCCAATTTACTCCAATGAATAGGCATATATCTCAGAAAAGGTTCATTAAAAAAAGGAAAAGTTTATTTCTATGTACCTTGCATTCTACAGACTGTAACATTCCACCATTATTCCATTACCAGAA